AGACAGAGCATTTTGGAGTCAAAGACGTAAAAACATATGTTAAGCTTTTCCTGTATTTTACCAATGCAAATTTACTATCAAAAAGGTTTAGAGCAAGGCTCTCAAAGCTCACCATTCATAGATGATTAGTCATGGTCTGTACCGCTATTTGATACCTAGAATGGGACTTCATTAATCTGCAGGCATTCTTAATGCACTGCATAACACCAGAGATTACCGGTTCCCTGCAAATGAACTTTTCTTCCTCCGCTTAAAACCATTTAATAGAAAAACAATGCAAGTGTCTACTTCAGAGCTGCTTCTGCTGGTTCAAAGAGCCAAGGGCTGATCCCACCCCACCACCTACTGGAACTCTGCAGAATCACAGGCCTGCCTTAGAGACTCTTCACTTTGCAGGCCAAGATCTGAAAAAGGCTGGAGACTAGAGGAGTGCTAAGAGGAAATACCACTACACACTTGTCCTGCAGTCCACCAGACAGCTGCTGCTGAATGCTATTTAGACACTGTGGTTACCAGGCTAGGTGAACTTTTGATCTGACCTGGAACAGACACTTTTTTTTTCCTTATGTTATCTTGTAGAACAAACAATAACAGAATTTAAAAAAAAAAATTAAAAAGTGAGAGTTTGCACATAAATTTCCCTTTACCAGTGTAATACCACGAAAGTGACATGCCCCGGCTCTGGCTCCCTGGTGTCGCAGGCAGGGGTGTGTACCCAGGACAGACACACCTCCACCCTGACTCTCCTCACTCAGCAGATCTCCACACCCACCCCATCTGCTCCTCCACATGCACATCTCACTTGCCCACTCCGCCAGGCTCTTCAAACCAGCCTTACACCATGCCAGAGGTACTGAATGCAGTTTTAGACTTGAAAATATAATGAAGAAGTCTTTGGAGGGTAACAACACAGTAAGGGTGATAAACTCAGTGGGAGACTCCCCACTCCTTCTGAAGTGGGCACAACAATCAGTCTGAGACAAAATTTAAATTTGGTTTGGTTAATTACAAACAGACTATCATTTGGGAAAAAAATACCCATTAAACCAGTTACTGTTTAACAGCCCTACTCTAATTACAGAGTGGACTCTCAGGTGTGATTGGCTTGTTACTAAATTTGTCTCACAGGATGCTGGTGATATCCCAATAAACCGTACCATGGAAGATGCCCTGATCCCATTGAAGTCAAGGGCAAAAAGTCATAACGACTTAGCAGAGGATGTATTTGGCCTTATAAAGCTGGGAGCAGAGCAGAACAGATCCTTACTCTGTCTTACATTTCATGTGGGAACCTCTAAGATGTAGCTGTGACTTTATTCTCCTTTCTTTCTATCTGCTGACATTTTAACGGAGATTTCGGTCATTTGGGTGGACCCTGGATCAGTCCCCACCAGGGAGCACAGCGGAATCCTTCTGCCTGGCTAGGGGTCTGACTTCTCCACACACGTCTGAGCTTGGCACTAACACTCCCAACATTGAGGATGGACCTCCAAATCCAACCAGGAGTTAGCTTATATATAGCATGGTAATTGAAATACTTTATCATCAAATTATTATTTCATTAGGATTTCATTAGGAACAGAAAGTGAAGGTTGATGGTATCCCTTTGTTCATTTCAACTTCCATTCACTAGATGACATGCTTACCAAGCAACACCGAGGGTGTAAACATTGAGGCTTGCAATACACTTCAGCCCTGGAGCTGCTCTCTCTGCCGCGCTGGCTGCTGGCAGCGCTCCTTACAGATGGGGGCATTGCTGCTCCAGGCGCTTTGCAAAGGCAGAACATCGCTCTCCCTCCAAAGCACTGACTGTGTCCGGGAGAAAATCGATGCAGAACCCTTGCCCACTTGCCAATGTCCTCTGCAGAGGCAGCAGAAGAGCAGATACGTAAGGTGAGTGTATGCTCATGATGGCAACGTGGCACAGAGCAGTGTGTAAGCACTGTAAGCGCCGATGATCTCAGTCTCTGCAATGTCAGTCTTCAGCCTTGCTCTGCACCCCCGTAAATAACATTTACATAGCATTTGAATATATGTTGCAACCATTCTCTGTGGTCTCACCACAACTTTTGCATTCACCTAATGAACAACAGTTAGAAGAAGGAGAGTTAACTACCCTACATATAGCCAAATGCGGATGCACAGGCAAATGTGGGCAAACAAACATGCAAAAAAAGCTCTGTGTTTCTGCCTCTCTCTTTTCACCACTTTTCTGTATGAAGACTTTCTTCCACTGAAAAAAAACCAACCCCAAAAAACCCCCAGCTATCACTGACAGCAAAAAAATCAGGAACACTTTGCTTAAATTAAAGAAAAATGTAAATTAACAATATTAAAGCTATCATCTTTATCTGCTGCCTAGACCAGCCTCTACCTCTTTTGTGGCTTTATTGTTCTTACCCAGGGTTGCTTTCATAGCCACTGAGCACAGGAGGCCCTGAGGAATTTGGAGACATTTCCTTCACGTCTTCTAAAGAAGCAATAAAAAGATACTTGCAGAGACATCAGTGACTCAAGTCCAACTGCTAAATCTCAGCTTTTCTGGCAGCCTCTGAGGTGTGATATGTCTACCATAGCGGAGACACAGAACTGCATTCACCTGGTGCTCATGTCTACATGGGGAAAGGTGTTTTGCTGAAGCATTGGCCTTGCTTCTCTTCTGATGGATGCAGAGGGCAGGAGTCGCCAGCTCTCAAACACACTCTGTCCTTGTGGACTGTGGACACCTATCTCAGAGGAGGTGCCTGGCTTTCCCATAGCTGAAGGCAAGCTGAGCCCCTGGCAAATGTACACAGTACCACAGGGAATATTATGCCCCATGTCGGACCCACAAGGAATCGGCTGCCAGGTGTTTCTCCCCCAAATTTCCTGGCTGCGTACCTGCAACGCACCTCATTCCCAGACTAACGCACTGCAAGAGTGAGACTGGACCAGTAACCTCCAAAGCCCATTGCCTGCATCTCAGGAGCAGAATGGAAGGACAGAGACCCAGTAATGGTAGATGGGCAGGGAAAACTGTGAGTATTTAATTGATCGGATTAGGTAGAGGACGGTGGAGTGGCCAGCTAACTGCATAACCTGCACCGCCGCAGTGCTGAGGGTCAGAAATTCTGTGTACACAGGGGACAAAGGGCGTCTTGTCACATGCAGGAAGCAAAGGCCACTTTTGGGGTCTTTTGAAGATCACCAAGGGTGATAATTTACAGTTCAAAATGCCTGACCACAGACCCATGTCCAGCTCCAGTGCCTCCTCCATGAAGTCAGCAGCTGTGGCAGCTCTTTGAGCAGGGCCAGGGTGTTAGACTGGATGGACTGGACTGTCACCTGCTGGTGCCACCCCCTCAGCCACCCTCCTGGCAAGGAGATGCCAGTTAGGAGCTGACCATCAACATAATACTCTGCTCCCAGATTGCACAGACAGCGCCTGCCACATGGTGGATCCCTCCTCAATATAAAAAAGGCCTGAGATGAGCCAAAGCACAAACCAGTCAGCAGCAGAGAAAAGAAACAGAGCCAATCTCTGACTCCACAGTCCCACCACATCCCTCTCCACAGTTAAGGACCCTTGAGCAGGTCACACTCCCACATTTTGCAGAATTTCAGCTCTGGTCTTTTGTTTCAAGCTGTTGAGGCTATATTGCTTCCTGGACCATACTATCTTTTTCCAAACACATAGTTTGGACTTAGGTTCAGCCCAGATGCTTGGGATGTGAATCAGCTCCAGATACAACTCTACAGTGTCCACATGTACATTATGTCTCTAGCATCCACTGTAGTTACAGGAATCGGTCAAAACACCGGAACAGAATAAATACAGTGAATAAAGTCTAGGGGCTTCTTAGGCAGACCAAACTTAGGCATAGCTTTAGTGTAGGTCCTGTCTGCATTTTTGGGCCAAAAGTGTCTTGCCTTTTCTAATTTTCATATGTTAGTTTCCCTTATTCAGCAGTAGTGATGTGTCTCTGCCAGTGCACCAGTGCTAAGTAAACCTGTTATATCCCTCCCATCCACCAGCCCCTAGGCACTGCTGGTGATCTACTGCTCCAGGTAAATTCCAAGTCAGCCCATTTATTGTTATTTCTTCCACAGAAACAACCCAGCAAAAAGCAAAGCTCACTACGGTCCCCTCCCCTTTGTAGTACAGAGTCTGAGTTCCCAACTTAGGGAGGCAGAGGCCCAGTCAAAAAACTAGCGTGAAGACATGGGTCAACTGTTGGTTTGGCAGACACCAAGTTTGGAGCATCCACTGTGAACTATTATACCTGTTGCACTATGCTGTTGGAGCTATCACTATCCACTGCAGCCGTGGTAGTGTGCTCTCCGTTATTATCCCTTCATTAAACATTGTACTTTAACTAACTGTAATTGGGTAGTACTAAACTAAGGTAGAAAGGGCTTGCTGATTTGTATTCTCCATGCAGGAGTTAAATCAGGAAATAGGTAATCTCTGAAAACATGATTTGAGAAGCCATCCTCACACAGATGCTGACAGCACCGTGGTACCGGCAGCCGGCCCACCAGGCTGCCCGTGGGCACAACACATGCGGCTGGGCCAGCACAGCAAGGATGCCCGCACCCGACCTGCGCTGGCAGCTCTGCACATGCTCCGTCTGCCAGCCAAGTCCCACTCACCCTCCCAGGCTTGTTTGTCTACGGGCAGCGCGCGGCTGCTGAGGCTGGGTGAGCTGCAGCATCTCCCAGAGCTGCTCGTCGGCAGTTTCACTCGCTGAAGCTAAGACGTTTTTCAGAAGCTCAGTTAAGCTTCCAGGGATGTCATTTTAAGAGGGTCCATAACAAACAGAACATACCGTTCCCATCGGGCCAGTGATAATGTCCTTGCTTTGACAACAACCTGCAGCCGTAAAGCGCATTTAATTCTCTCACAAGAAGATTGGCGACAGCTATCGTGGCATTGTTTACTGTAATATATGGGATTCTTCCCTGAGAACCCTGGAGATGGCATTTGTCTGGTCTGGTTGTAAATAATGAGATAGACCACAATGGATTTCAGTTCCTCATCAGTGTTTGATCAGCACAAAGGTAAGTCACCTACTACCAACTAAAAAAAAAACCCATCCTCCCATGCCTCACATGCATATGTACTAAGATTACTTCACAGAATGAATAACAAGAATTTTTGGAAAAGACCAGGTGTCACAGAGATTTATTTTGGTTACACATGAAGGAATTTCTTCCATCAGTTTTAGACATGGGTAGTTCAGCCTATTGCTACAGTGATTTTTAAAAATAAAATTTTTCAGCAGAATAGCAACAGCATCTGATTGGTCTTATGCTTAGCATTGAGAGATGTATGTATATATTTATTGTTTATATTATGTATTGGTCCTTTTATGGAGATATATATAAAAACAATTGCAATATTAGCAAACACAGCAGTTTAAAATGGAGTAAAAATTTAGGAAAAGCTGATTTTCATAAGTCTACTAGTTTGTATACATTAAAAAGACTAGATGCTGACAAGTGATTGACTTTGCTTCAGCAAATCTTAGCTGTATAGGTAAGTATTGCCATAATTGTGTATTTAAGTGTATTTAAGTTATCTTTAAAATCCCCAACATGAAGATTTTCTACATGGTAAGGTTGCTATGGAAATACAAATGTCTCTTTCTTGTCTGTTTTTAAGTTAAATGGTTGAATTTCATGTCTTTATTTGCTGATACAAGCTTTTATGTCTTACGGCTTAATCCACTACAGGGAATGTGGTGGCATTCCTTTTGTGTTCCCAAAGCAGGAAGCTGTCATTGTTTGATTATCTGTATTGCAACAAATTTCTCTTTAAGTCAGCTTGCCAAATAATTTGTGTACAGTGCCCACAGTTTCCAGTGCACACCTGCAAAGTGCCCAAGCTGACATGGCCGTGCTGGCCCCACAACGAAGGTGCTGCCTGTAGAAAAAAGATGAAGGGCAAGAGGAAGACAGATGCTGCGGTGCCTTTTGGGCGGCTGGGTTGCACAGGTTGTACTTTTGTGCTTGCCTATGCTTCTTTGGTGAACCCAAAGTAAATACGCTCCATGTAAAGCAGTGGACTTATGGCTGCCTTTTAGCCACAGTAGCGCCCAAAGCCTCAAGCAAGTCTTGCGAGTACTGGTCTACACCAGCCCAGCCAGGACGCCCCCAAGCAGATGGGGAAGAGTGGGAAGCCACCAAGCAAAACTGAGTGATAAGAGACAAAAACTACTACCAGTAAGGATAAAGGAGGAAGGGAAGTGCACCGGGAGAAGGGGGATCTGTACTGCAGGAATAGAGACAGGTGCTCCTAGGTCATGTGCAAATGACAGAAGGAGCATTTTCCCCAATAGGACAGACGTGTGGGGCTGACTGAGCTTCTGCAGCTCAAAAGAGCTGTTCTCAAGCTCTCCTTCTGCAGGCACTACGAGTATGCTCTGTGCCACACTCTGAACCAGCAGTGCTCAGACTGAGGAGGGAGAGAGGAAACCCTGCACACTCAGTGCTGTGGGGGTGGCTGCCAGGGAGCCGGTGGAAGTGGTGCCAGCAATGAGGCTGGAATATGACCAGGGCTGGAGAAGGAGAAGTCAAGTCACCAGATGGATAAGGGGACAGACAGCAATGCAGGAGACCACTGACCCAAACCACCTTACCTGGCTAGAAGTGAGAGAGCTTGGAGGCAACATCTGCCTGTACTTCCCCTTGCTCCTAATCTGCAGCCCCTCCTCCTGCCAGGCCACTCTCCACACTGACCCATCCTTATTCCTGTCCAGCATCATCTTCAACCCCATGTCACACTCCACTCGCAGCACGCCCCCAGCAATAGGGTCCCCTCCAGATAAATTCATCATCTCCCCTCCACCACCACTGCAGGGATGCTGGCTCATTAGAGGATTTGTGACTTATGGTTTGCCTTCCCTGCCAGCTGTGTGGGAGGCAGATGGGGAGCAGGAGCAGACAACACACCATAATGGGACACTGAACCCACTGGTTATCATTAAAAGAAAGCTCTATTCAAAATTTACAGTGTATGGTGGATTTTATCTAAATAGCATGTTAGTGTCTTGGAACACTACTGATTTAAGCAGGCATAATTTTTTTTTAGCAAAGAAAAGGGGAATATCTTTCACTGGAGCAATTAGAAGAATACAGACTAGCTTTCAAACACACCAGATCAGTATCTGTTGGTCCAATAAAATAATCTAACCCTTCCTACAAACCCTTTCTCCACCCCACACATCAGAAAACTATCCTAGCTACAGATCAAAAAACAGCATTCCAGGCTTGAAAATCATACTGTCTCTTTGCAACACTTCCTATGGTACTGCTCATTGATATCTTATAATACTTATCAATAGTAACAGCAGTAGCGATGTGGAACTTAAAGCAGCCAAACAACGTCAGAAACCCCTCCCCTCCTAATACTGTTTGGTGCCATTAAAATGTGTGCTCTACCCAGCTTCAAATATTTACCATTTAAACAGAGAAGCTAGACAAAGGCCTGGACTGGTACATTCGCAGCGAGGCACACATAGGGATTATTACGTTGTTAAGCAATCAATAAATCCATAATGTTAGAGAGCGAGTTACAATTTCCAAAAACTGCACTCATCCACCTCCCGCTGACCCTTGACACTGACATGCTGAAATCACATAAACTGCCTCGTATTGTGTCCTGCTGACAAGCTGTGGGAAATCGCATAAGGCATTTGGCTACCGGTGGAGACAAGAGGGTTTACAGGAAAGAGGGGAGTAAATTGTATACATAAATATTTTTTCTTCACAATGAACATAAATCATCCTGTTATCCAGCCTTTGGTTTTCAAAACTTAGTGTTTTAGCAAGGTCTAAATCAGTCATTGTCAAGACCATGTACACTAAGCTGCAGCAGATTTATTTAAACCTTAAAAATCCAGTGCAGGAGAAAGCATGCACTTACGTACATCTAACGTGCACTTTGTAAAACCACACATCAGCCAACATCGCAAATCATGTAAAACATGCATTCTTCATAGGAAAGTCAGAGGAGAATTAATTGTCACAAGCAGTGTAATTTGATTGCTCTGAATCCTGTGATCATTCTGCATATTTATGTACCCCCTTTTCTGACCAATTACTTTGTCTCAAAGAAATGATGCGCTTTTAAAACACTGCAGCTTATTTCAGATAGATTGGCTTTTAACTTTGATTCTTTCGGAGGATTTTAGCTACAAAAGATGTCACAACCCTGTACGTCTTTTGGTCTTTCCTCACTAAGATTCTTCTAGACCTTTCTATACCACTGTCATGCCAGCCTGCAGGTTCTCCTTACCCTCACTCCATACGCAGGCTCTTAGTTGGACCTTCTGCCTTCCTGAAGCTGACTGACAGCTTCCTTTCACCAGTAGCACAGCGATTTTCCAAAATAAAATGTAAAATGTATCTGAAATGGCACCAGTACTCACTGGCGCTTACATAACTGCAAGATAACAAATGCTAACGCATTTGAAGATGGAAGGTCAGGCATTTGGCTGTTCACAATCCCGTTATTCCGCGTGGTGCTGGTGCCCCAGCTGCAGCTGAGCTCCCCAGCAGGATAAGCTCACAGAGGGGGGCACAAGTGCTCAGTACTTCACTGTCCTCTTCTGCAAAATGCCTGCTCTCTGAATCATTCCTCTTCTGCCCAGGAAGGTGTCTGCAAAAAGAAATGGCCTACAAGCTTTGCGCCCATGCCCCCTCATTCCTTGACAGGGTCACTGGAGGAAGGTGAAGTGGGAGATGTTGTGTCACCTGGAGCCAAGTGCATCCAGCATAAATGACATCCAAGCCCTCCTGGCATTTCCTGCTCCCTGTCATGTGAAGCATCAGAAGACCACGCATCTGTCTTCCTCCTCACCCCCCACCCAAAGCCACACAGGTCATGTTAAAGACACCCCACTTTAAATCGTGTCATCCTCAGAAAAGGAATTAGTGTCAGTCTACTTCATGTCAGATGCGCAACATGGGCGCTCATCAATTCCTCCTGGCCCAGTCTGCCTCGCCAGCAGGGTGACAGCCTGCTCCATCTGCCTCTCCTTGCTCTAACAGCTAGGACTCATGGATGGGGAACTGTGAATCTTGGATGTGGCTTCATGCCATCATCCTTCACCAGGAGTGGAGCCCATGTCCTGTGAGAGCAGGCATGGGGAAAACAACTTTGTTCATTCATCCATCTATCCATTCATTCAGAGTTTTGCTTCCTCTCCTCGTACAAAAGGATAATTGCTCTTGGGAAAGCAGATTCAGCCCAGCACAAGCAAAGGCACAGGGGAGAAGGTGTTTTGGGTTTTGTTAGATGAAAAAGGGCAGAACGAGTCAGGGACCCACATGCAGGTGTGCATCCATGTCCTCATCTTTCTGTCATCCTGCCCCCCGGGTAAGCAACTGCTCTGCTCTGGAGATGCAGAGTTTCCTTTTGTGGCTGGATTGCACTGCTTTTAACTCACAGCAGGAAAATTTAACAGTATTTACAAGGCTAAACGGCAAAAAGTACAAAATTTACATGCGTAATGCATAAAAGGAGGTGAGGCCCCCTCTGATCCACTGTCTGTCTCAGTACATGTAATGGTTTCTTTCCCAAAGCCAGCAGCATCTTCTCTGTACCATTCCCATGCAATAATCACCACATGCGGCTGTGAGAGGAGCTGTGTCGGTGCTTGTGGCTGGCACCTCCTGCCTGCCTGCAGACACTGGCCAAGAGGAGCAACACAAGCAATGAACCTCTGCCTTGACTCCTTGCCTTCCACCCAGCCCATACTACTCGCCTCTTTGAGTAAGGGACTAGCTCAGACTTGAGGTTGTTATTAACACGTCTTTGCTGAGTTTACTGATTGTAAGAGTAGTCTGCAGATCTGGCATGATAAGGAAATCTGATTAATGGGCCCTGTGGTAAAGTCACTTCTTTTTTCATATACTGATGATGACTCTCCAGAGGCAATGACTCTTAGTCTCTCCTGATCGCCCAAGCACACAGGTCAAAGTTTCTGAGACAAATGAACAGTTCCCTCAGTAATAGACTCCCCAATAGAATTAAAATCAAGTTAACATTTTTAATTTACGGATTTTATCAAATGTGTAAAAGACCAGCTAGAAGAGAGAAAAAAAACTAAATTCTCTTCAGTTGAGTAGTGATGGAGAGGGAATCTGCACACTGGTGAAGGCAGATTTAACATCAGCTTTCTAGTTTTCCCAAGCCCACAAGCAGAACTCCAGCTTTGACAGACTAACCTTTCCCAGGGTAACAGCTGATTGCGTTTCCATGGCAGCCAAGTTTTGAAGTCGAGAGTGATGATTGCATCCCGGGGAGAGAAGGTCACATGTGGGGAATTATGCTGGGTTGTAAACCCCAGCATGGAGCTCATGCGAGTTCAGCTGCAACAATGTCTGATCACAGCGTGAATAGTGTGCCTAATACTTTAAAATTATCTTTAAAGACCTTCTATTGCTCAAAAATATATATGACAATGTTTAAAATATAATTTATGTCACTGTGTTAATAATAATGTATTATTTGATTATGAAAAAGACTTTTTACAAACTTTTCAAATTATCTTTAAACCATCTCCCTTTTTTCTGCACAGCTTACGTAGTTATGCTATCTCCAGAAGACATGACAGTAAGGATAAGTCACCCGTCACTTAATCTGTCTTTCCTTTGATCAACTCTTCAGTGTGATTTAGGCGTCAGTTTTACTTTGTCTTGCTAACAAGGTACTGCAGTGGCTGGACAAATGTTATCCTTTGTAGCTCTGACCCTCAGCCACAGTGAACTGCACAGCTCACTGCAGCTGTACTTTTTGAGCTAATAGAGATCAGAAACTCTTTTTAAAATTAAACATGAGACTGTGGCTGACCAACAATACACACGTAGAGCATTTTACCGTTACATCGGATTTGACCTTGCACCAAAACATCAACTCTTTTTACTCCTGGAGTTAACAGCTTAATAGTCCACTTGAAGCCAAAGGAGGTGTAGGCATGTGGAGCATGGGATGACCAGTCTGGAAGGAAGCTACAAGTAAAGAGAGAATCATCGCATTAATTCCTCTAGAAACAAAAATCTGAGGAGTGTTCAGGAACAGGTCCTGCAAGGCATCTGCTTTGAATAATACCTCATACTGTAATTGCCAAAGACAATAAACTGCTCCTGGGTTCCAAGCAATAGTCCACCTTTCCTTTTTGCAGGAATTATTAACACAAACCATTGCTGCCAGAAGTTCACTCTCCTGAGAAGAGAATTCCCCTGGACACCGCAGGGAAAGAAAGTGAAAAGCCTCAATCTTCTGACTGGTGCAAGGATAACACTGAAACTGAAAACACCTGTGTCCTGATTTCATCCTATCTCATAAAAGTGTAGCCAGCAATATTATGAGCTAGTTCAGTTATTAGTTCAATGTTTCTCAAGTCATGTTACATTAATGTTAGTATGATTTCTTATAAGAAGTGGAAACTTTCCAGAAGTTTTCTTATGTTCTCTCAGTGTCTATGTCTGACAGTTTTTGGAAGAAGTTATAAAAAAAAACAAGTTTCAGATGACTAACAAAACCCACAGTGCTGTTTAGATACACTTTGTTCCACCTCGAGTTATACAGCCATAAAAACTCAGTGAAATAAGATGATTATTTTCACTGTTAATCATTTGTACTTGCTCTCTGCTTACTCATGGAGTACTCCTCCCCTGCAGGTGATGCAGCAGAAGAGATTGACTTGACTGTGGTTTACCAAGCAGCAGCTAATGGCGATGTGAACACACTAACTGCAGTGATTCGAGAAGATCCTTCCATCCTGGAGTGCTGCGACGGCGAGGGTAAATGAAGGCTGAGCTTGTTCTCAGGGGATTAATTGCTTCAGTTTGCAACTAAATTTTCCACTTTTTATCCTGATTTTTGTGTTCAGCAAATTATATTTAGTAGCAGAATATGGGAAATTTGAATTATTCTTTGGAACATCCACTGGAAATGCTCAGTTTGGATACTTCTTTCCCCCTGTGAGATTTTTTATATGGATACAAATAAGTTGTTTTGCTATAATCAGACAGTACTTTATCATGAAGCTATTTTATCTTCTTTAGGGAGATGCTGAGAAATTGTTGTCATTTCAGGAAGGGAAAAGAATAATTTTTATCAAAGCCAAATGCTATACATTCTGCACATCCCTAGAGTAGAGGGTTACGGTCTTTTACACTTAAAAAGTATGTGTACAGACAAAGTTTGAATAATTTTGTCGTGTAATGGTTTGCCAAAGGGTTGGTTTTACAATGTGCAGTGATCTAAATAATCTGTTTTATCTCTGAGACTGTGCTCCTTTTCACTTTGTGTTCAGGTTACTATTTAATGTTATTACAAAGTGCTGTCCATTGGATGGGTTTTATATGCACCTATTTCCCAAGTGAACTAGAGCCACAGATCTCTGGAAGCTTCTCTCAAGGAAGACTTTGTTTATTCAAAAGTATTTTTTTATTGCAGTTTCTTTTAAAGGGTCCATATGAACACGGTCTATTCTAATCTTTACCAGCTTTTACGAAGTTACCGATTTTTCCTACACTTTAAACCAGACATCGTCGCTGTTATCTTCAAAATTTCTATTGGTCAGTAGGGAAAATGCTTAATCAAGCTAAAGTGCTCAGTCCAGATCTTTCATGGGAGAGGGACTAGGTATGAGGGGCAGTGGGTGGAAATAGACTGATCAGCAAAAGGAAGTATTTCAGCTCCAGAACAAAGCTGTTGGCTAGGTTGTACATACAAATGTAACTAAAGACCGGTCTTGCAAGACAAAACATATGGCTCATATCCTACACATATGGCAGAGTCTGCATAACCTCAGGTTGAGTAGCGCGCATTTGCTCAGCAGTCTCATTGAATCCAGTAAGAATAATTATTCTTCAGTTGTGTCTGAAGTTCCTAGTAGTCTTATAGTTTCTAATATTCATGTTTATTCCAGCTTAGTCATTTTAAATTGTTTTGTCAGATTCTGCAGGAAAATCTCTTGCTGTTATTCAGCAGTTAACAGAATGGAAGGAAGAGGAAGCAAATAAAACATATCGCAATACTTCATGATGAAATTTGAGTATTAGGTTTGAATGTAGATATCAGGTTTTTTCCAGCACAGAAACTGTTTGCAGATTATAAAATAAGTTCTCATGACAACAGAAAATAATATATTCTAGAGCAAATCCAGTCTTTAAAATAAGTTGTTGTCTACATAAAGCATCAACTCACACACATACAGCTTTGCACAAGACAGAGCTTGACTTCATAGATCTTTTGATTACATAGAGACAGAATGAAGCTGGGCTTTGAGAAAATTAGCCAAGCACCATCTGGCTACTAGTCACTCTAAAGAATATCAACCTCCAAAATGGTGTACAAAGCCAACAATTCATATTGGGAGCTTGTCAACAGAAAAACACTTTTCTCTCCAGAAGTAGAGTTAATGAGGCAAGGCTTTTGCTAATGAAGTCATGCTCTTTTTAAAATCAGTGGTCAGTAACTGGCATAGCAGTTGCTTCCTGCCTGCAAAAAGCTGAGTACAACTGTTGGACAGTTGTCAGAGAAAAGATTTGTTAATTTGCCAGTGCTAACATTAGCAAATAAGAAAACATCTCTATCTTATGGCTTTGACAAAATAAAAATTGTAAAAGAATGTTTGACTTTCTTCCCCAGGTTGCACACCTTTGATGCATGCTGTGTCAGGACGCCAGGTTGATACAGTGAAGCTTCTGTTGAAGATGGGAGCCAATATTAATACTCAAGATGCTTGTGGACGTACCAGTTTATCTCTGGCAACTTATCTGGTACCAAGACTTGGGGGAGAAGGATGGAAAGATAGATGGAGTGAAGGGAGTAAATGTGCAGACCAAATAAGGTTTCTGTTTATACTACAGAAAGAAAAAAGTACAAAACACTTGGTTCTAGACAACAGTGAAACTGTAGACTTTACTATAATGCAAAGCCAGAAGCAATGATTATTCGAAAAGGATCAGGACTCCGGTCAGAGCGTCAATTCTCTTTCAGGTTGTAAAATCGGTGCATGGTATGGGGATCTCACTAGGTCCAGAGTCCTTTGTGTTGTTTCAAGAAAGCCACTTGTTTCTGTGCACTGGAAAGCCCACTCTCATTCTTAATATGAATTGAATTTTCCCCTCCCACTGTCAGCATCAGATTTTTATGCTCCAGAGAGGGCATTCCTATCTCAGATTCTGGTGGTCAGCAGGCATGTCTTCTGGCACACCACATGAGCCAGGGCATTGCTTTTTTTCACTATAGTGCTGGACCTTGGATGGGCAGGTTAAGAACTTAAGTTCAGGGTGCTGCAGATGCCAGTGCAGATACTCAGATCATAAGCAATCCCATCCCCCAACCAACCCACATGCAAGCAATAGTAGGGGAAGACTTCCCATTGAGAAGTTTGGGAAGGGAGATGTGGTGGTCTCTGTCTGAAGCACACGAGGATGGTCCTCTTCTCCTTAGTCTTCTACTCCTTGCTGGAGGGAATTCAGGATTTGGAGAGAGGATGTGAACCAAGTCAGTTGGGCAGAGGAGTTGACCATGGGCTTCCGTTATTAGTTGGACAGAAAGGAGGAAGGAATGTTCACCCTTGCTGCGTAGTATGAGTTATGGCTGGATGACAGCCAGTTCATTTAAACAGATACTGTGGCAGCCTAATTAAATCACATCCCTTGCATCTAGTTTCTTCCTGCAAATTCAGGACAAAAACAATGCTTCTGCTCAGCTATGCGATATTCAGCCAGAAAATAAGTGTAGAAAATAGCAAAACAGGCAGTCTCATTCAGTGCAAGGAGCATGCCCCACTTACTTGAGAATAAACATTTCCTCTGCCAGATATTTTAAAAAAATCCCATAATTAGTGTCATGCTCCTTTTTTCCTTCCTCTTTTCCCAGAGGGGAAAAAATATTCTTTGAAAAAAAAGAAATGACTGGAAAAGATTTAAACCACCCAGGCTTCGAAGTTTCCATTTCTGTTTCTGTGATGGATATAATCAGAGGTCTAGAGAGGATTTGGCTGTGATGTCTGTCCAAAGAACTGAATTCAGCAGAGCTCCACAGTCACAATCACATGCAGAATTCGGTGGTCTTGTACTTCCACCAGGAGCTGCAACAGGGATCATTTGATTCCATCATTCCGCACCTTTTCCCTGTAAATGCTGGTAACGCCGATCTGATGTAGCTCATACGGGAGGGAAGAGTCTTTATCGATTGCCTGTGGAGGTTTGAACAAAACAAACGCATGCTTGATTGCCCTGGGACTTAAGTATACGCTGAAAGATTTATGCAGTCACAACCAGATTTTTTACTTGCTTTTTTGTTGAGGTGATCAATGGAAGGTTTTAGTCGAAGAGGCTATTCATCCCATCTGTTTTGGTGCTGTTTTCAGTCTAACATTGTCACTACTTCGAACTTCTGTAACAATGTTTATAAGACCACACTCTAAAGATTTTTACTATTGATTTGCCATCCCTGCTAAAGTCTCATAAAGGAAATGAGATTAAGTGCTCATGGTATTGATTTAACCTAGCATAATTACATCTACATGCAGGAATACGTGTAGCATTTGCTAGTGATAAAGGAATTAGCAGGTTTTTAATCACTGTTTACTCAGTCAGTACTTGCCACAGCTGCAGAAAAACTGAAATGCAGTGTAAAGAAAACACCTTATCACAGAAATGAATGATTGAGCTAGTCTGAGACTTGAACTCCAAAAGGGAACTGCTCTCAGTGCTGAGAGACCTTTATTGGGGAAAATAAACATCAGTTCCTCTGCTGGCAGAAACAGCTACAGTCACACATGGATGCCAGAACCACCAAGCAAAGATCTGGCCTGATGTATTTCACTTTCCTGTTTGACATACTCTCAATTTCTTTTTCAGGGCTGGCTGGAAGGCTGTGTCAGCCTGCTCAGAAATGGTGCTAAGCAGAACATACCTGACAAAAATGGGAGGTTGCCACTGCACGCTGCTACTGCAGAGCCTGACGTGAGGTATGTCCCAGGCTCCAACAGCATTTGCTGGTTGAATCTCAGCAGGTGGTCACTAACACAAGCTACCCAGCGCAAAGGGGAGCCCGTGTCAGAAAGGTTAGCTGTGACAGTTACTCTTGTGACTTGCTCCTTTGTTTAGTGGTTATCATAAAGGGGGTAGAGAAGGGGGAAAAGCATTGTACAACACTTGTGTAACAGAGATATATGGACAAGTAAGGTGAGAAGGCTGGTTTAAGATCACAACGGCAGGAGGGAAAAAAAAGATTATAATAAAGGTTGAAACTCTGGGCTTCCCCTGACCTGCCACCTCCCCACAAGAAATATTACAAGCAGCTCCTTCTCTGGACTTCTCCTCCAAGTAGCATGGCAAATGTGAGAAAAGTTTTCCACATGACAACCTCTTTCAGAGCCCCCAGTGTAAAGGGGAAGCTGAGGTTTGGTGGACTGGCTCATTTTTAACTACTTTTACTGAAGATGGAGTAACAGCTACAGAGTGTCTTCACAAGAAGTTTTAAGAAAGATCCTCTTTGTCTCATTCCAGCCTGTGATAATAGGAATGTTTAACAAATTCCGACTTGTACATTTGAATAAATTCACTCAAAAAACTCCCCTAAGTTCATCATGTCTGGAGGGACAGGAAGACAGTAGAGACAGGTAAAACATTCAGTAAATGCAAAATGTTCATGTGACTTAATCACTGAGTCTACGGTTTTGCTGCTGTTGCCATATCAGACTAGCCCAGACCTCTGTGCATTTCTGCTGATCTTGCTCTCCAGCCTTTTTTAACAGCTTTATTCATTTTCCACGTTATCATTGCTTTTCATGCATCACTTGGAGAGAATAGTTTGAGGTTTCTGCAAAAGTACGGGTCACTGTCATTAAACAAAGCCTCCAAAGAAAAAAGACAATGTTTGTACAACACTGCACATGCTGCCACTTGAAAGGGAACAGTAATCTACTTTACCAGCAGCACACAGGGTTCCCTGAATGTTTTTCACATTCTCCATGGATACGGGCAGACCTTTGCTCCGCACAGGAGTTTACCAGCTGCTCAATTCCTGTTCCTCTGCCTTGTCACTGGGTTTGCCCCATGTCCAGAAGACATGCTTGGAGCACTGAGGGAGAAGCTTTTCCATCACGGTCACTGTCACTCTCTCAAATCCCATGTTGTTGCCAAAAGGGTATATGCAGTGGCCAGCTATGAAATGCTTTTTCAGCCAAGTTTGAAAGCTGGCAGCCCACTACTACAACCCCATGTGCTGGAGGCAGCACATGGACCACACGGAAAGACAGAGACAGTGATCAGCCAATTTATGTATTGATTTGATAATTGATTTATGTGCTTCAGTGTGTTCCACAGAGCGTAAGAGGAAAGCTCTAAAAAGAATCCATGGAATTCCTGATCTATGCCTTTTAGAGTAGATATTGGAGAAATCTCAGCTGCGTGGCTGAATATCTACATATTTGAGTGGTAGCAGTTATGTTGGCATAATGGTCTAAGGATGTAAGTGAGACAAAGTTTGTTGTTGATAGAGGTTTTACACTCAAAGAATGAGATTTCCTTCACATGCACTGGTTTCATTTATTATATCTGGGGTTAAACTACAGAATCATGTATCAGATTATAAAACTGTGATAAATGGGTTTTACAGCATATTATGGTTATCACACTTTCTTTCTGCTCATTAGTCCATTTTTACCCAGACCTGTTTTCAGATACTGAATTTCTGAGATTCTGAGTCCTTGTGCCAAATGACCACAAAATGTCTCTTCCTTTTTACCAATTTTTACCAAACTAATCACAGCAATCCTAAAATGTCATTCTTTTCAGAGTTCGTATAGTATGACTCCATTATGCCATTGGTTGTGTGATTCAGAAAAGGAGGTGTAACACCCCTCTTCTACAAGTATTTGTATCCAGATCCACTGGGATCTGCCCAGTCTTCACCATTTAGGGATATTCTAGTTAGAAGAAAATTAAATTTGGACTTCTGTCTGGCACCTGAAGATGGTATTACTAACGGGTAAACTTTTTCACGTGCAGAATTGCCCGAATCATCCCTAAGCAACTGTAAATGTCTTTCTTTTGAATAATTTACATTATTCAAATGTTTATTACTGGAGGGGGCAGGGAGAACAAATTTGTCGTCAACATTCTCAACTTGATCTGATCCACACACCTGAGCACAGTTCAATCCAGAAAACATATTGGAAGTTTTTGAAGATTGTCCTGATGAAAAGCAGCAAAAGATTTTCATTCAGTCTCCTATGCATGAGAATGTATGCATGGTTGTATACATTTATCTGTGCAATATCTGAGTTCCCTCCTTGACACTTCATCATGTTTTAATTTCCTTGCAAAACAGCATGTCTTTTAAATGTCCATGTTTTGAAGTTTTCTAGCAAATTCACACCTTCAGATGAGCCACAGATTTGCATTATGATCTTATCTAGGGATCCACTAAGGATATATCTTTCCTTTTGTTAGAATCATAAGAACTGTACACGTCAGGATCTATGCTATTTGGCTTTGTTACAGCCTGTGTCAGGATGGTCCATTTCCATGGTCCACTCATGTACGTGATCCAAACATTTAGCATCCTACTATACACTATACACAACCATCTTTGCCAAACCTGTGGTGATTTAAGAACATCTTCAGAGGATACCAAAAGGAAAAGAAAAGCAAAATCCATGCAGTGTTAAAAATATTATTGCACTTGAATAATATTTTCTGTAACCATTTTATAGTAACTATTCCTTCCACCAGAGGGGAGTGTTTGTAGTCTGACATTCTATAAAATGTGAACCAATGCATTGCTCTGGTTTATACCATAACAATGGCCGTAACCCAGCAAACACACTGTAAGGCCTTGTAAAATACTATTGGTTTGTATGGGTGTAAATATGTAGTATGCATGCATACACACACACACAAACACATACACAACATCACATTACTCCCAGAGTTAAGGAGAGTGAAAAATACTTTTAGAAACTGGTCATTAGCATTTCTGTTTGTTTAAAACTTTATAAAATAGGATGACAGTGAATTGCTAAGCTACCAAAAACTGCAAACGTATAGTATTACACACGCTGATTCTAGCCTGGCAATCAGCACAGGAATTGTTCCTAGTGGATCTGGTTTTAATTCCCAGCACTAAACTTCTGTTGTTACAGGAAGCCATGAAGTCCTATTTGCTTTTCTAGTATGACAAAGCTCAGACCTAAGATTCTGACCTGTGCCCATCACTAATACTGATTTTTCTTGAAATTGCATGTTTTGTTTCTCAAAAAATGTCAATTTTTCAGGTTTAGTCAGGAGTACAGCACACTGATTATGTCATTGCTTCCGCAGGCTTCTGAACGTGCTTCTGCAGCAGTCAAATCTTAGTGAAATTAATCATCAGGACAATGAGGTAAGTGAGCTTGTGCTACAAGTCACAGTCCCAGGCTCTAGGGGCATACAGGTCATGCTGTTCAGAAAGAGTCCACTGTACTATCAATTTTATGATGAGACTATGCACTGGTTAAAAATTTCTATAATGCTTCTGCTGAACTCTGCAAAGCATTATCTCATTTTTCCTACTATACGTGATGCACCTTTAGGCTAATATACTGCCAACTATGAGGTACCCTGAATCAGTCTCTTAACTCACTTGCCAAGACATTAATTGCTTTTGATTCTTCTGAAGTTAGACATTGCACTAAATCTTCACCTTTACCAATCATCCCGTAATTAAAGTACTGTTTTCAGGAAAAATACCGGAAAGCTGGTATTACACAGAACAGCCATGGAGCTACAAAAATTTATGCTGTCCTCTGATCCTTAAAGAATTGTGCCCTGCATATATAAGTATATATATAGTGTACACAGGAGAGTGTTAATTTCTCAAATGTGTTCTCCTCCAAACAGAGAAGTCAAGACACATGAGAAACTCTGGATGTCTTTTCATTTGTTTCTCTTCACTCTAACAATTGCTCAAGGACGTCTCTCTTCTCCAGGGTGCCAGACCCGCCGCAGGGCTGCTAATTTTCCCTCTTCCTGTGAACCTTCTTTACCCACTGAATGGTTTGCAGACCCTGCTCACAACAACCTAAACCAGTTGTATGCTTTGTCTTGGTGTAGAATTATGTTGCTAATGAATTGCATGGAACCGTGGATCATCATTTCAAGACGTAATGTTTTGCTGTAATGCATTGCTACATGCAATTTGGAACTTTTAGTCCAGCTCGCTGTCATTTGGCACTGAGAAGATATTTGTTCAAGTGTCAGTACTAAGCCCTGAATGTTTTCTGAAAAATGTGGATCCTCACAAATAATTGCAGCTAATAGAGCTGTTCTCTTGGCATAAGTAAAACACTTCAGTTTTCCCATCTTACACTTGAGAAAAACACACCAATGAATGCATGAACACGTAAACAGTAAGAAATACATCTGGAGGTTTCATAGTTTCCACAACTGTGGCTTTCTGTGGGTTTACTTATGAAGCCTGTGAGATGTGAAGAAACATTCCCTAAAAAAGCCTCGAATCTGGGCAAAACAAGTGTCACACTATATTTCCCACACCCATTTCTCATTTTTTCTCCTTTTATGTCCCCTATTGCTCCTTATTTTTTATAAATGAGCAGTTGTTTGGCTGTCTCACGTTTAATATAAGATTCTGCTGGATCTTCAGCTTTGATAGTTCTGATACCGCTCTCGTGCTTCCTCTCACTAACAGTAGTCTATCTACAGATGCCACTCACGGGTGGTATCACCATGCACAAATCAGATGGGTGCGGGCTAGACAGCCATTGCCTGCTGTAGCAGGCCCACACGTGTGAGCTGCCGCTACAACCAGCTCAATGCTCTTTGCTCAGTTGGGTGCTCCGAAAGGACACGTAGAATGTACAAATTTTTAGAAAAGAAATAGAGAACAAAACAGGAAGCAGCATTATGCTTTGTCTGAATCCTTGGTACACCCAAATCTTGAATGTCGGCTGCAAGAGTAATCTGAAAAAGGATATACAAGAAAAGGAACAGAAAAGGACTAGAAAGATGGTGATACTTATAGAGTAGATTCCTTTAATGGGCAGGATAACAACTAAACAAACTAACTACAATAGGACTTTCAGCTTGGCAACTGTGTAAGAGGGATGATATAATACAAGTCCATGGCATCACAAATTGCATGGAGAAGACGAAAAGAGAATTATTATTAACTGTTTTTTACATCTAAAAGGATGGCGACACCTAAAGAAATTATCAGGCAGCAGTTTTAAAGAAAATGAAAATAATTACTTTTTCAGAAAATGCATCGTTACTGTGTGGAGGTCTGGATGTCATAGGAAGTCTTTAGTCTGATTACCAAATATTAGGTGACTGTATATCATCAGGCCTTGTTTCTTATATTTTCTCCCTGAGCATCTGCTACTGACCTCTCTGAGCTGGATATTGTACTAGAGAGATCTTTGATCCCTACCCACAGTTCTCACGCTGTTATGTTACAGCTCATTCTGCTGGTTACCACAGTAGAAACAGAGAGAAAGTTGATTTTTCAAGGATTTTTTGTCTATATCAACAGACTGAGAGTGCATGACAGAAAGCTGGCCTGGTACTCTGTAGCTTCTCCTCTTTCAGTGATTTTTTGTGCTCTCCAGTACTAGGGCTGAGGACTCATTTCCCAGCTGGAAATCCCTGAAGCCCCACTTCACAGCACTCACAAATACTGAGTGTCCATCAACAGTACTAAGTCCCTTGTGTCAAAACCTTGGTCCACTGACGTCAATGGCAGAGCTCCCATTCATTTCAGTTAGGGCAGGATTTTACCCTCATTTTTGGTTTTACAAAACCAAAACCCCCATGATTAAGCTTTGCAAGCCCTAACTAAAAACAAAACTGCTCTTGTTCAACTGCTCTATTTTGTCATCACCTATACTTAAGCCATCTGGGAACTTGAAAATCCTCGTAAGATACCTGATGAGTGAGAGAAATTAATGTTAGGGCATTCAGCCTTTTAGTTAGAAAATCACTGCCAACAACTTCCACTATTAATGCACTGATAAGCTGTCTGCATCAATGTTTTATAGCTCATACTTTAGTTGAGTTGTTGCCAATTGGCTTTATGAGGTTCTATGTCAAGTTCTAATTTCTTTTCCATTCTACATTTTTTGCTTTTTACCATTTTGGAAATCAGGCAAGACCCTTGAAATGCATTTTCATAAGAGAGAGTTAACAATACCTGCCCAAACTAAAATGTTACCACATCTAAACAACACTAGCAATTTTTAAGAAACACATTGAATGAGTAACTTTATACAGAAAATCTTTAATATTATGGATGTAGCGTAAAATATAGGTGTGTGTAACAATGCTGATGAAGTTGCAAATACAGGCCATGAATTCTCTGATCTACCAAAACTGACTGAACACAGCTAAGATGGAATGAAAATGCAGGTCAATAGCTTACCATTTGCTTTGTTTTCTCCCTAAACAGTAAATATGAGATGTTTAGATTGTGACTTTTCTGTTGACATCACTGGGCCAGTTCCTTTGCTTGCTGACTAGAGCCAGCTAGAATACTTGCTTATAATATTTATTTTGGATCAAAGATAAGACTTAAAATAAATATCACACTGTGTCATGTCAAAGCACCAGTCTAAAACAGGCTTTTCTCACAGGATCCAAACTGAGCAGTGAGGAACCATCCCCCAGCCATCGTGGTCCTGACCATGCATTATTTATAAAAGGCTATAGTCACGTACGAAAGAAGCATTCGTATTTGTATCCATTTTCTGTAATAACTCCAAAAAGCTAATTGCTTGATTCCCCCTTATGACTCCACTAATTCAGAAGCTGTTACTAATTATTCCAAATCAAGAGGGAGAGGGAAGAGTCTGTTGGTCCCGAATGGTTTCAGAACTGTCTAGCTTACCTACAGAGACTTGAAGGGTGCTCCTGTGAGTGACGATTATTTGCTCTCCGGGTTTGTGACTTTCAGGGAATGACTTCACTGCACTGGGCTGCTTTCCACAACAGGCCCCAGCACACCCAGACTCTGCTGCACAAGGGAGCAGACCCGACTCTCGTGGACAAAGACTTCAAAACAGCTCTGCACTGGGCAGTACAGGTGAGCCACGGCCGCAGTTTCACCAGGCAGTTGCTTGAGCTGAGCTGGCTGTTGTGGTGTCCTAAATACTCCAAAAGCAATTATTTCGGCTGTGAAATGAGGAAAATGAATGCTAGGAATGTCCACTAACAGCCCCAACATTTTGCCCGTGGGCACAAATCAAGGATCTAACATCTTCTTTGGAGACAAAGGCATACTTAATACAGGCTCAGCACTGTTGCCCTAAACAAAGTTATCATTTATTTCACTGGGAATATGCGTATGCTTCACGTTGAACTCATGCTTAAATTTTTTCACTAAATCAGGGTTGCAGAAATCAGCAGCTTAAATAGTCTTGCCAAAGGCCTTTGGGAATAAAATAATGTAAACACAAGTTAAAATATATTTAAACAGCTATAGTTGTGGAATAATTAGCTGAAGGGTTGAGGCCCTACTTCTCTGGAGATTAAGGAAGACAAGGAGCCAAACACATTTCCTGTTGAGCTGTATGTTCCTATCTCCTATGCAAAAAACCTGTCAAATTGCTAAAAATTACTCAGGCCATCATTAGAGAAAAAAACCACACAGGTTTAATGTGGCATTAAACACCATATTATGCAACTGGTAGTAAGTGGTCTAAAATATAGCGTAATTTACTAAGTTATGCCTAAACTTCACTGCAGAAAACTTCCTAGGTGAAATTATATAAATACGTTTTTACTTGCTCACTTGCCATAGCAAGTTCCGGTATCAATGTTCAAAACACCTGCACACCAGATAAGCAGAAATAGAACTTGCACGAAAATCCAGTAACATTTTCCTACAATGACTAAATATTTGCATCCTTACCTTTTGGTCTAAGTTCACTCATCTTAAAAAATGTGTCAACAAAGAAATTTAAAAGCTCTGAACTGCCACATACTATATTTGTAAATGAGTAAGGACATCTAGAACGAATAATCTGTTTCCTTCAACCACAGCTTCCCACAGATGGTTCACGTACAATAGGCTGAACTTTAGTTTTTCTGAAGTAGAGGTATATTTTGGCCTCTGCAACGGTTATTATTTCAGTACTAGTTTTGTTCGTCTTTAATCCTAATCAGTCTGAAATTGTGCTACATCCCTTGTTATTTTGCCTTAGGAGGCTAAAGGTATCTACTCTAAAACCTGTTGTGCATTTTTACTAGGCTTACTCCAATGCAGGCTGCTTCCAGCGGGAAATGTCTGAAACTCATGCAAGCTCCTTCAGGCTAGGCAGTGGTCTGGATGATAGCTCTGGGAACAAGCTGTCTCTCAAACAGAAAGACAAAAGGGAATCCCTTTCATATCAGGACCCTCAGAGTTCCCCTCATACCTTACTACCATTAACTCCCACCTCCACCTTTCTCTCACAAACATGCAGAATAACTCTTGAGAAAGCGGGAAATTAAAACTGCACAAAACCCACTTGGCCTCACGTGGAGGCAAATTACAAATCCCTCTTCTTTCTCCCTTTACTCTGCTCCTAGAAATCAGAGGAAACATGTGCAGCATCACCCCCTTTTTTGTCTTCTTGAGAGATTCCTGCTATGAAGCCTTACAAATTGCTTCTTCCATCCACATACTTCTCCGTATTGTAGGTCCAGAAGGGGCAGTTGAAATACCAGAGCATGGAATAGATTTGTTAGTATTTCTCTTACTCAGGCTTGGCCAAGAAAAAAATACTTTCAGCCAGTGCTCTTTGCTGCCCTATTAGGCCCGGGAGAAATAGATGCTGTGGACAGGCATGACTTTCTCTGCTATGATAGGGACCAGAACATGACCTCTGCTGGGTGAGATTATCATTATGTCTAATAGCTTCCTCCGTGGCTGCTGGAAAGGGGATATTTTTCCTTTAAGAGTTGTATTAATATCTTCAGAGCACAAGAGACTCACAGAGCTCAGGCAGTACCACCTGCAGGGGTTGTTTTTGGCTGAATAGGGCCCTGTGTTTAATTTCATTTTTAAAAATGCAGCAAGGGGAAGACCAGGCACTGCATAGAAACTTGTTTCAGAAGTTGCAGGACAGAGGCAGCTTGCGCACACTGGGCTGAAACACAGAGCGGGACCACATAAAAACCATTGCCCGCCATTCAAAACCAAATTCTCAGGCATGTTTCATAAGAAATAATTGTTTCATGCTGGCTGATCAAAGACCACACGTTTGGCACTTGGTCTGCCATCAGACAAACGGTGGCTGTGGAGTCCTAGCCACGTAACTAGACAGATCTTGCCCACAACAAGGTCTGCTCTACTGAAAAGCTCAAGCCTCCCGCTGCTCGAGTTCATGCCTTCAGTGCAAATGTGTTACATCGGTGTCAGAAACACAGATCATTCTGGTTTGAAATGAGAATCTCTTATGTCACATTCTTTACACATGCAATGTTTTTAAAAGCTGGTGCAGACAGGGCTATATTAGAAGTGTCTCAGGAGGTATTTCTCTCCTTTCATTGCAGCCAGCAATAATTGCTGTAATGAAAAGGAAATACAGCTTTGTAACAAAACCTGTTAACTGATACTGGAACAAAGTGTAAACCTGTTCTATCAGTTCTAGATAATGGTCTCATTGAAATCCTAATAAAATATAGTATATACTATACAGTATACACTATCGTACTACATTTTACTGTATCATAATAGTATTAGTAGCACCTTGGAAATAGCCTGGGAAGATTTGGAGTCTTCCTGCATTGCCTTGCAGTTGCCATGATTTTTACCAGAAGTTTCTTTGTCTCTTTCTTAAAACTCTGGCTCCCAAAGTCATACAATTATGTAAAAATATCAGCTTTCATTTAAAGAATAAGCAAACAATCAAACAAAGATTTTTTCTAAAGTGAAGAAATGCAAACCTCTAGGGATAAAAAGAAGGCAACTAAAAAGAAGCCATTAAAAATAATATTCTGCCATGTGGACCTGCGCTTAGGATTATTTGGAGTGCAAAGTTTTATTATTTCATTCCCCTGTTTCCTGAGAGCAGAACGAAATACCTGTATGTCTTAAACACATTGTAAAAGTAAAGCATAGGCAATTATTCATCTGTGTTTGGCTGAGCAAGTATGGCAGCCTCTCTGTAATTACTTGGAAGGTGAGAGCACGCTTAAATTTCAGGATCTCTACGAATGAATCTCTGTTGCTGCAGGGCATCTCGAGGACACAGCTGGTCACCCAGCCAGGGCAGAGGAAGGGGCCAGGGAAGGCAGTGGTGGCTCAGGGCCAGGGTCTCTCCCAAGGGATCACTGCGCTACTTCTCTCTGCCCAGCACCCCATTTTTTTTCTATGGGCTGCCCATGGTGGAAGAATTCAGAGAGACTTCCAAAGACTTCTTAAAACTTAATGGGTGTTTCTCTATGGCAGACGTTTGTTGTTGCATTAGGCCAGAAAAGGTGCATTTGCTAGGCACGTTGACAGTCTGGTTGGTTTCAGGCAGATTTCTTCCACTGCAAAATTGTACTCATTTTCTCCTTGTTTCATGAAGTTTTCTAGAGATAGCTAGAAAGGGAGAGGAGTGATTTCTTTTTTTATGTCACTAAGCTTTAAAGACAATTTGGACTGCTGGCAAACAAATAAAAAACAGATTCAATTTGCATTTTTTAAGCATACCCTTAAGAACTCCCTTTCTTGTGTAAATATTGTCATTCCAGACAGATTCAATGCATTTTTTAAGCATACCCTTAAGAACTCCCTTTCTTGTGTAAATATTGTCATTCCAGCAAAGGTACAGCTGTTGCTCATGGAGGCTGGAATGTTGCATAGCAGCAGAGCTCTACAGAGTGAGCTGTCAAGTTGCAAAACAAGGAAGAAAAGAGTTTGCAAATAGTTTTGAGTAAGAAATAAACTTGCTCCAATACCATCAGAAGCCTTTTCGAAAAAGTGCCCTAAACATTCATGACAATGTCTGCAATAGCAAATTAAATGTGCTTGAGTCTTGGCTCTGGCACCAAGGCCAACTATCCCAGGACAGCCTGTGTCCTTACTGCTAAACTCTCTTAATTCTCTAAAACAGGATGGTCATATGCAGACCACTTATTGGGAATGGTCTGTGGCCCACACTAGCTCCTGAAGTATGTCCAGGAACCAGTGGGGAAAGTGTTAATTGGCCCAAGCCAAAACCATGCCAGGGAGGATTTTAAAAATTTTACAGTACAGACAACCAAGTTCCAATGCTCATGGATGTTCCCTACTGCTACTTAGTTTTTTATATAGCTGTAACCTATTTCTCCACTTTCATTTATGTCAGTTCATAAGCCAAAGCCCCTTTTGTGACTTGTACAGCAGTACTGATATACAAACTCATCAGTGCAACCAGATCGTCAGAAAAAACACCTTCACCTGAAATAATTGACTGTTAAACAGTAAGTTCTTCAAGTACGAACATGCTGTTGACAATGTAATTATTCACGCCAATCAAATTTCCAAGGAAATCAATTGCAGAACTCCCACTGAGCTTAGTAGGAATTTGTCTTGGGCAAAACCTGTAGGTGAGTACAGAATAATTGCCAGACCTCTTCCCAGCACACAGTCTATGTGTAGCTCCGCAAGTGGATGCCAGAACATGAGTAATGTACATGCACCACAATTTTTGCATATCTATAAATGTTCTGATCTCCTATGCCTGACAAAAAGGCACTGGAAGACAAACGTTTCCATTTCTCTGATAGTAGTAAGGAAGAAATCCTTATTCTACTGCAGAATAGAAGATGACCTCGTTTTCCAAAGCACATAACCAGTTCATCCAGAGAAAGCAGGCCTCACAACAATGTACTAGCAGGGGAAAGCTGCCAAGTAATTTTAGTCATAGCCATAGTCATTTACACAGTAAATCATACACACTTATTGTAGAAAACTCCAAGTGAAAATAAATTCTCAGAGAGACTTGGCCAGTATTTCATGCAGTTTTTTGTTTGAGCAAAGAGAGGATAAGAGAGGCAGGGACATATGATAGCCATAGAGGTATGCCTTCATGACTGCCTTTGTCATTTGGTAGCTTTTTCCAACACCCACTA